TTGTCGAGTGAATATATCTTTCTCACAGACATCACTGGAAAGTTTGTAGTTCGGTCGGATATGTCAAAAACAAGTAAGTAAAACAATGCACAAGTTACTTAACGGTAGGGGGAGAGAGAGAGAGAGAGAGCGCACTTCCGTTGTGTGATCTTGGATGTTCACTCACTGTGCACACGCATCATTTTGATTCAAACGAAATCGTAAAAATAAAACCATTGATAGGGGCATTCACTATAAACATTTATTTTCAACCGTAGGCATACACGACTTTCTGGCGAAAGTGAAACTAACAGCCTGTGTGAAATGCGCTAGACTGTACTACTGTCCTCTTATTCTGCATCAGTACAAATAAATGCACGCGTTGCGCGTGTTTTGCTTGCTTGAGTGTTTCTGCATTATATGAGTGGCTTTGGAAAATAAATCGCAGCACGTTTCAGATGAAAAAAACGCGACTTCGATTTCTGAAAATATCACAGTTAGGAGAGTTATAACGAGTGGTTCCCTGCATTATTACAGCAAAGCGCGTGATTACAGTACTAAGCCGCTGCAATGGAGCAGCTCTAATGCTATTAAATTAAAGATGATGTCCCATAGAGCAATGAAATGAACAGTGAAAGTAACAAAAACTTGTAAAATACATTTGAATGGGCATAATTAAGTGTGAAAATAACCAAAAATTATTCAGAGACCAGATATTTTTTTACTAGTGGGTGCAGGACACTATAATTCATTGTCATACTAACAGCTGTCTGAATTATTTTGGTTGATTGTAATCTATTACATACCTTTCTATCAAAATTATCTAACATAATCAAGATGAATTTGTTCTGACACAGTGTAACTCTGAGTTCTTGTCATATTTTACTACCATTTTCTAAACTATAGCGAATAAACTGTGATAATGTGAGAAATGTTGAAGGTGTCTGAATACATTTTGGTTTGACTGTATCTATTTGATAATATATCTATTTGATAATATATACATACTCTTTTGGTTTCTGTACCCAATATTTAATTTTTTTTCAAATGCAATAAAAATATCGGTATTGGTACTCGGTATCGGCAAGTAACAAAAATAAAAGTATCGTATCGGGCGAGTACTGGAAAAAGTGGTATCGGTGCATCCCTAAATTACAGCATATTGCATGGTTTTGTAAATGTAGGTTGTATGTAGATACCAAATCTCTATTATGGGTCCTGTGCAGAGAAAGTTTTAAAAATGCTAATTTAAATTTGTAAATTAGTTTAGATTATTATTAATGTATATATATTAACAATAACAATTCTTATGAATAATATTATTTATTTAATTATTATTAATTATTTTATTTAAAGCTTTAACACAAGTTAAAACTGAAAAAACAACAACATTCAATATAAGTCAATTACAGCCCTAAATAAAACCTTTGTAACCACTGGTCAGAACCAGAAGTGGATCCTGACATAAGTTATAAAGGCTAGGCAAGCACTTCTATGTGCCTGCTTTCTGTTTGGCCCAAAACCCCATTGAAAATGAAATGTTATGTAGCAGTTATCTACTGCTGAGCAGCTCCTTGTGGTGGCACATCTTACTGCTGCTGCTGCTTTCTGTCTGTCTGCCAATGGAAAGAAACCCGTTGACCTTCTAGAAGCCATGTTACTGCCATATAGTTCAAGTGAAGTTCATTTAATCTAATCAGACTAAAATGCACTTTGGCTTTTAATATTTATCCTCTGATATGATGTTGTAATTCTGGTCTATTAAAAAATGTGCATATTTAAACTCAAGGCCTTTAGCAAAATAATGAGCTGTGAGACATCAGTTTTTTAAATTTATATTATAATTTAATGGTATCTTTTAATTAACAGACAAATTATGATATTTGTGGACTACTCTCAGGATGTCGTTTATGTCTAGCAATGCCCCATGAATGAACCATAATGATTCATTCTCAAAATTGACACACAACCAGTTTAGGTTGCAAGGCACCTCTCATTACCGACAGGAAATGCATCTCTGAAAAGTGCAGGTCTCTAGGGCAATGACTACACCATGTGCAACAAAACAATGTTATATATATATATATATATATATATATATATATACACAAGTGTGGAAAAGGTGTGTGGAAAGCTTGTCTATATATCAGGCGTGACTCACTGGTCTCATCCTGTACACTAGAGTCAAGAGAACATTACAGCATAACACATTACATTTGAAAGAATCTGTTAAACAAGCTTCTGTATCATTACATAAAGTTCTCCTTGTCATAGCAGGAAATTAAAGTAGATGAAGTTTGTGCTGATGCCACAGTACAAGAATATTTGATACAGATCTAATATGACACAGAATACACAGTGACCAGGCACAGGTAATAAATACAAACGCAATTCATTTGCTTTATCCAGCTGTATTTACTCAGTGCAACTTATAACATCCAAATGAAAGATATTAAACCAACATGAAAATTGAGTCATGACAAACTTGTAAGATTTAGAGCTACTGCTTCATTATAGATATTTAAGAAAAATAATAGTGGAAAACAAGAAAGAATGAGGAAAAGGTAGAAAAAAAAGAGCAAGGGAGAATCTGGTCAAAATGACATTTGCCCATTGAGCCCAGAAATAGAGGGGGCTTTTAAAATGAAAACTCTCTACAACAAAGAGCCCGGCAGACTGTAGCATTCTGTCCAATTCCCATGAAAGTACTCAGCACAAGCCACCTGCTAACACATTCAGCACATCAAACTCTTGTCTGTTGTCATTCACATCAATAGAGGCTTGAAATGGGGCATTTCTGCGGCTGCGGTGCATTATTAGGACTTTTTGAGATTAAAAATTGGGCATGGCTGTAGGTCCTAACTCTACAGACAGATTCCTTAAGGTGAAAATGTATCTAAATATACTGAAACCAACCTCTTTGCCTGGTTTTCCTTCATTTTCTTCCTTCATCTCACTGTGTAACGGCCCATCTTGAAGGCTCTTTGACACCTTCACTAGAATGATGGAGGACATGCTTCAACAGGCCCTTGGGACGAATTGCCATCAGACAGTGACGCATTACCAAAGTAAGAGGATACGAGGTTGGTCGGGTGAGATTTAAAGAGAAAATTCACAATTTGAAGCCCAAAAAGGTCACATGTCAATGGCATTTCTTGAAACCAAACTTTGGGTGTTTATACAACTGCTCTACTGGCCTATTTTAACTCAGCTGTTCTGACATGTTAGGGACATGTATACCATCTTTGGTGTGCGGTTCACAGCCATCCCAATGGTTATGACAGATTAAGTCGCAGGCTAAACAAACAAACCCAAATAAACAGCAAAAGGGTTGCTGGATCAAGACCCACAAGTCTAAGCCACAGCACTCACAACAAGGCCTTCAAGCTCAGTCAATTTATCATCAACGCCGAGATGAACAGCACTTGATTGGATGCATCAAACTAAATGTGTATTAAATTTGCATAACGATAAATGATACGGCACGAATAATAGGATTAGCGAGTTGCTAGCTGTGATTTCACCATCTTTTTAGCTTAAGGAGGTGTGATGTCATTTTTTTCTATTAAAGTGGATATTCTACAGTAAAATGCTATAGTGAGATAGCGTGGGGCGATCCTGGGAAAATCTTGACCACTTATAATTGCTAAAATCTCACTAAGAAACTGTATGACATCTCATTAGAGCAGTTTTAAAACAAGCCATAAGTGTTTTTTCCCGGGGGGAATAATTTCACACCAATCTGACAGGATCTCTGCAAAAAACGCTTATGGAAGTCACTACAGAGGATATAACATATTTTGATGCAAAACAGCCCACAGTACTTCAGTTTGCGAGCATATGTGACTAAACACTGGTCGTTGAAGTGTTGAAAAAAAATCACAAAAAAGAACAAGAAACTTGAATTTATTACATATTTCTCCAGGAAAGAATAAATTATTGAGACTTCAAGACTTACTGAAATTGTTAAACTACGTTAGAAATTAAGGTAACACTTTACAATAAGTTTAAATTCTTAAGCCTCAAGTCATGCATAATCTTTAAACAGTATCTATTAATCTAGGTTAATGTTTATTTATCAATATATTATTGTTCATAGTTAATTCATGTTCATTCATAATACATTTATTTATAGCTATTTATACAGCTTAAAATGTAAAAAAAAAAAGATTATATGTAGAAATTAACATTAACCACAGTAAATTACATAATGCACTTAATGCATAATGAATGAACAAAGTTTACAAATTTAACCTTATTGTAAAGTGTTACCAAAATCTGCATAAAAATCAAATGCCAAGATAATATTTCAAGCTGCTGTACTCTGATGAATAAAAGTCATTCGGACTGTGCCAAACACGTCCTTGTTATTCAGCAGAATCAGTTGAATAAGCTAATGACCATATCTTCCACATTTTGCTGAAGCAGAGTCCTGACACAATTAGGTAATTATGCCTCTAAATGTCATCAAGAATTTCACCAATTTTCCCAGCTGATTTAAAGCAGCCCTCTGCAGTAACTTTGAAGCTTGCACTTTGTTCCAGAGAACAGCAAAAAGACCACATCTTAATATATGCCTTTGGAAACCTCCAAGGCAATTTTGCTTTTCAGTGTGCTTGACTCCATCCATCTAACTAAAATAACACAATAGTGAAGAACATTAATCTATATAATGCAGCCTATGTAATGCTACTGCATTATCCTGCAAACAGAGATGAACTTTCAGGCAATTTCATTCTCTATAGACAGACAATCAGAATGACTAATGTTCTGGAACTGAAACTGTAAGCCTAATAACAAAAAATACAACATATGACCATTTTGCAGCACTCAAGCTACCTACCATATATAGCAGCATTGTCCCTTTTGTTGAAGTAGGCAGCAAATCAAAAGTTTACATACACACACATAGTGGAAAAATTATATCTAAACGAAATAGCTCAATATAACCTTAAATGCATGACAAAGCACTGTAGTTTTACAATTTTATTCACTTTTTCAACAATTTTTTTTACACTCACCTCTCTTGGCTTTGGCATTACGCACCCTCCATATTGTTTTGTGGATCTCAAAATTGTAGCTAGCTGGCAAAGCCTTAATGGCCTCGTTGAGCTCTGGATCATTGAGGATCTCATCAGGAATCTGATTGGCCACTCTCCTCGGACCTCGCACTACATTAAAAGACAATGAGAAAGTTAATTCACTTAATTTAAGTTTGCTGTAAGCATTACTAAAGACACTACTGTGCAATATAGTATGTGCAATTACAAATTGCCTTAGCGAGCTCTGCTAAAAATCATATTTTTATGAGAAATTGACTGGGCTACAGCCTATATAATAAGACAAGGAAAGCTCATCCAATCATTTCTCAGTTCCAAAATTAATCATCACACAAATCAATCAGGGCGCCGTCAGGACAGCCGCTGAACTGAGAGGTCAGTCATCAGCAGGATGAGTCTGTCAGTGGCATCCATTTATTTTTGAAGTCTATGACAGACAGACCATCTGTAATGCAAGTCCTGGCTACAGATTAGTGAATGGCTATATTCCTACACTACCAGTCAAAAGTTTGGAATAATTACGATTTTTAATGTTTAATGTTTATGAAAATTCTCAGCAGCCATTACTCCAGTGTTCTTTCGAATGATTTCTGAAGGATCTTTTGACACTGACGACTGGAGTAATAGCTGCTGAAAATTCAGCTTTGCCATCACAGGAATAAATTACATATTCAAATACAAAATAGTTATTTCAAATTGTAACAATATTTTTGCACAGTTTTTACTGTATTTTTGATCACATAAATGCAACCTTGGTGAGCATAAGAAACTTCTTAATCACAGTAGTCTTTTTTCCACTGATTAACATAAAAACACCACTCTGAACAGCTCCAAGATAAGGTCATTGAAAAGTACAAGACACGGGATGGATGGAATATTTCCAACTCATTGAATATATCTGGGAGTACTACTAAATAAATAATTAAGAAATAGAAAATGTATGGCATAGTTGTAAATCTACTTAGAGCAAGCTAGCCCCAAAAACTGAATGACTATGCGAGGAGGAGACTGGTTAGGGAGGCCACCAAGAGACCAATGGTGATTCAGGTTCTAGCACCTTTGCTTTTCTCTCTCTACATGCTTCCTTTAGGTTTCTTTCCCCTTTTATGTGGATAATACACAGATCTAGCTGCTTATTAAAAGAAACGTCCCTTCAGCTATACAATCCATCAAGTTTTTATGACAGCCACCATTATGTTTATATTTCAAAAAAACGAATTGAAGTAGAAATATTATGTAATTGTAACTTTATTTTAAAAACTTCATTAAGCGTCATTTTAATAAATCATTCAATTTTAACCTTCAATAGTATAGTAATGTAGTACCAACTGACTCTCATGCATATTTTACAGCATTAGTTGAGAGATTTTTTTTCACAGTAGTCTTTTTTCCACTGATTAACATAAAAACACCACTCTGAACAGCTCCAAGATAAGGTCATTGAAAAGCACAAGACACGGGATGGATGGAATATTTCCAACTCATTGAATATATCTGGGAGTACTACTAAATAAATAATTAAGAAATAGAAAATGTATGGCATAGTTGTAAATCTACTTACAGCAAGCTAGCCCCAAAAACTGAATGACTATGCGAGGAGGAGACTGGTTAGGGAGGCCACCAAGAGACCAATGGTGATTCAGGTTCTAGCACCTTTGCTTTTCTCTCTCTACATGCTTCCTTTAGGTTTCTTTCCCCTTTTATGTGGATAATACACAGATCTAGCTGCTTATTAAAAGAAACGTCCCTTCAGCTATACAATCCATCAAGTTTTTATGACAGCCACCATTATGTTTATATTTCAAAAAAACGAATTGAAGTAGAAATATTATGTAATTGTAACTTTATTTTAAAAACTTCATTAAGCGTCATTTTAATAAATCATTCAATTTTAACCTTCAATAGTATAGTAATGTAGTACCAACTGACTCTCATGCATATTTTACAGCATTAGTTGAGAGATTTTTTTTACCTTGAAAAAATGTGGCATGTACTGTACCTGATATATATCCAAAATAATCGATATTGAATCGAATCGAAAGCTTGTGAATGAGAATCGAATCGTGAAATTTGTGTCAAAACCCAGCCCTAATTCTCGTAGCTTCATAAAATTACGGTTGAACCCCTGATGTCACATGGATTATGTTACCGATCTCCTTGCTACATTTCTGGACTTGGGAGCATTTCAGTTGTATTGCGGTCTATGCAGGGTCGGCCAGCTCTCAGATTCCAACAAAAATATCTTACTTTGTGTTCCGAAGATGAACGAAGGTCTTACGGGTTTGAAACGACATGAGGGTGAGTAATTAATGACAGAATTTTCATTTTTGGGTGAACTAACCCTTTAAGGAAGGCAGGGCCAGGACGACTGATCCGTGTAAACGAAAGAATGAATGGGGCCATGTATTGTGAGATTTTGAGTGAAAACCTCCTTCCATTAGCAAGGGCATTGAAGATGAAACGTGGCTGGGTCTTTCAGCATGACAATGATCCCAAACACACTGCCCGGGCAACGAAGGAGTGGCTTCGTAAGAAGCATTTCAAGGTCCTGGAGTGGCCTAGCCAGTCTCCCGATCTCAACCCCATAGAAAATCTTTGGAGGGGGTTGAAAATCCGTGTTGCCCAGCGACAGCCCCCAAACATTACTGCTCTAGAGGAGATCTGGATGGAGGAATGGGCCAAAATACCAGCAACCGTGTGTGAAAACCTTGTGAAGACTTACAGAAAATGTTTGACCTCTGTCATTGCCAACAAAGTGTATATAACAAAGTATTGAGATGAAATTTTGTTATTGACCAAATACTTATTTTCGACCATAATTTGCAAATAAATTCTTTAAAAATCCTACAATGTGATTTTCTGGATTTTTTTTTCTCATTTTGTCTCTCATAGTTGAGGTATACCTATGATGAAAATTACAGGCCTCTCTCATCTTTTTAAGTGGGAGAACTTGCACAATTGGTGGCTGACTAAATACTTTTTTGCCCCACTGTATATATATATATATATATATATGTGTGTGTGTGTGTGTGTGTGTGTGTCAGTAAGCAGCGCATTAATATAGAATGGTAATTAAAGGCTCTAATGCACAACAGGTGAGTGTATTGTAGGAGCTAGACGACGTATGGTGACGTGTAGTAGTGGTGTCCCAATTCTTAGGGGAATATTTTCACCCCTACCCCTTGACACTCTGTTTCAAGGGACAAGGGGAATGGGTATAAAATAGAATTGGGATTGGGCCTAAATATACTGAGACCAACCTCTCGCCTTGCTCTATTTCATCTTACTGTGTAATGACCCATCCAGAAGGCTCTTTGACACCTGCACTAGAATGATGGAGGACATGCTTCAACAGGCCCTTGGGATGAATTGTCATCAGACAGTGACGCATGACCAAAGTCAGAGGATACGAGGTCAGTCGGGTGAGATTTAAAGAGACAAATCGCAATTCGAAGCCCAAAAAGGTCACATTTCAAATGGCATTTCTTGAAACCAAACTTTGGGTGTTCACACAACTGCACTACTGGCCTATTTTGACTCAGCTGTTCTGACATGTTAAGGACAGTGTCATTGGTATAACATCTTTGGCTTGCGGTTCACAGCCATCCCAATGGTTATGGCAGATTAAGAACGCAGGCTAAACAAGCAAACAGCCAAAGGGTTGCTGGATCAAGACCCACAAGTCTAAGCTACAGCACTCACGACAAGCAGAGTCAATTCATCATCAACAGCAAGATAAACAGCTCTTGATTGGATGCATCAAACTAAATGAGGATTAAATTAGCATAACGATAAATGATACCGCACAAATAATAGGATTAGCGAGCTGCTTGCTGTGATTTCATCACCTTTTTTATGCCGTGATGAAATTCTCTGAGGTTAGCTTGAGGAGGTAAAGCACATGCGTTAGAATAAGATGTAATTTCATCCATTAAAGTGGATAGTCTAAAGTAAAATGCTATAGTAAGATAGCGTGGGGCGACCCTGGGAAGTCTTGACCACTTATAATTGCTAATTAATTGCACACCAATCTGACAGGTTTTTTGCAAAAACCACTTATGGAAGTCACTACAGAGGATATAACATTTTTATGCAAAACACTGGCCGTTGTGGACACAGATTAAAACATCACAACAAAACAACTAGAACCTTTAATTTATCACATATTTATCCAAAGAATAAATAATTGAGACCTCAATAATTGTTAGAAATGAAGTAACACTTTACAATAAGTTTCAATTCCTCAGCCTCATGTAATGCATTAGACTTCATAAGCTAATGACAAACAACAATTTTTAAACATCGTTTATTAATCTAAGTAGGGCTGTGCAAATAATCGAATGCGATTTTCATGCCCATCGCGTCAGTAAAGCCGGTTTAATACTTCATCGTGTTTGCGATATCTGTCAGCTATAAAATCCAGATCGGTTTTTAAAAGAAACATCGAGATAAATCTGCATGCGCTAATTCTGTCTGATGCTGTGTAAAATACATGGTGCCTTATAAGATATATTGCTGAATTCATTGCCGATTATGAATGCGATTTTGCGTAGCTTGTCAGTGAACTTACGGCTCTGTGTAGTAAATGATGCTCCATCTGAAAGCACATGCTAGAGATTTACTACTAATCACAGAACCGGCTTTACTGACGCGATGCGCATGAAAATCGCATTCGATTATTTGCACAGCCCTAAATCTAAGTTAATGTTTAATTTTCAATATAATATTGTTTGTTGCTAATTCATGTAGATTCAACATATATTAACTATTTACAAAGCTTAAAATGTTAAAAACTATTAACATTAACCCAGGTAAATTCTGTAATGCACTTAATGCATAATGAATGAACAAAGTTTACAAATTTAACCTTATTGTAAAGTGTTACCAAAATCTGCATAAAAATCAAATGCCAAGATAATATTTCAAGCTGCTGTACTCTGATGAATAAAAGTCATTCGGACTGTGCCAAACACGTCCTTGTTATTCAGCAGAATCAGTTGATGGTTAATAAGCTAATAACCATATCTTCCACATTTTGCTGAAGCAGAGTCCTGACACAATTAGGTAATTATGCCTCTAAATGTCATCACGAATTTCACCAATTTTCCCAGCTGATTTAAAGCAGCCCTCTGCAGTAATTTTAAAGTTTGCACTTTGTTCCAGGGAACAACAAAAAGACCACATCTTAATTTATGCCTGTGGAAACCTCCAAGGCAATTCTGCTTTTCAGTTTGCTTGACTCTGTCCGTATAACTAAAATAACACAATAGTGAATAACATTAATCTATATAATGCAGCCTGTATGCTCTCATAAAAACAATGAGCTCAAGACATACATTATGTAATGCTACTGCATTATCCTGCAAACAGAGATGAACTTTCAGGCAATTTCATTCTCTATAGACAGACAATCAGAATGACTAATGTTCTGGAACTGAAACTGTAAGCCTAATAACAAAAAATACAACATATGACCATTTTGCAGCACTCAAGCTACCTACCATATATAGCAGCATTGTCCCTTTTGTTGAAGTAGGCAGCAAATCAAAAGTTTACATACACACACATAGTGGAAAAATTATATCTAAACGAAATAGCTCAATATAACCTTAAATGCATGACAAAGCACTGTAGTTTTACAATTTTATTCACTTTTTCAACAATTTTTTTTACACTCACCTCTCTTGGCTTTGGCATTACGCACCCTCCATATTGTTTTGTGGATCTCAAAATTGTAGCTAGCTGGCAAAGCCTTAATGGCCTCGTTGAGCTCTGGATCATTGAGGATCTCATCAGGAATCTGATTGGCCACTCTCCTCGGACCTCGCACTACATTAAAAGACAATGAGAAAGTTAATTCACTTAATTTAAGTTTGCTGTAAGCATTACTAAAGACACTACTGTGCAATATAGTATGTGCAATTACAAATTGCCTTAGCGAGCTCTGCTAAAAATCATATTTTTATGAGAAATTGACTGGGCTACAGCCTATATAATAAGACAAGGAAAGCTCATCCAATCATTTCTCAGTTCCAAAATTAATCATCACACAAATCAATCAGGGCGCCGTCAGGACAGCCGCTGAACTGAGAGGTCAGTCATCAGCAGGATGAGTCTGTCAGTGGCATCCATTTATTTTTGAAGTCTATGACAGACAGACCATCTGTAATGCAAGTCCTGGCTACAGATTAGTGAATGGCTATATTCCTACACTACCAGTCAAAAGTTTGGAATAATTACGATTTTTAATGTTTAATGTTTATGAAAATTCTCAGCAGCCATTACTCCAGTGTTCTTTCGAATGATTTCTGAAGGATCTTTTGACACTGACGACTGGAGTAATAGCTGCTGAAAATTCAGCTTTGCCATCACAGGAATAAATTACATATTCAAATACAAAATAGTTATTTCAAATTGTAACAATATTTTTGCACAGTTTTTACTGTATTTTTGATCACATAAATGCAACCTTGGTGAGCATAAGAAACTTCTTAATCACAGTAGTCTTTTTTCCACTGATTAACATAAAAACACCACTCTGAACAGCTCCAAGATAAGGTCATTGAAAAGCACAAGACACGGGATGGATGGAATATTTCCAACTCATTGAATATATCTGGGAGTACTACTAAATAAATAATTAAGAAATAGAAAATGTATGGCATAGTTGTAAATCTACTTAGAGCAAGCTAGCCCCAAAAACTGAATGACTATGCGAGGAGGAGACTGGTTAGGGAGGCCACCAAGAGACCAATGGTGATTCAGGTTCTAGCACCTTTGCTTTTCTCTCTCTACATGCTTCCTTTAGGTTTCTTTCCCCTTTTATGTGGATAATACACAGATCTAGCTGCTTATTAAAAGAAACGTCCCTTCAGCTATACAATCCATCAAGTTTTTATGACAGCCACCATTATGTTTATATTTCAAAAAAACGAATTGAAGTAGAAATATTATGTAATTGTAACTTTATTTTAAAAACTTCATTAAGCGTCATTTTAATAAATCATTCAATTTTAACCTTCAATAGTATAGTAATGTAGTACCAACTGACTCTCATGCATATTTTACAGCATTAGTTGAGAGATTTTTTTTACCTTGAAAAAATGTGGCATGTACTGTACCTGATATATATCCAAAATAATCGATATTGAATCGAATCGAAAGCTTGTGAATGAGAATCGAATCGTGAAATTTGTGTCAAAACCCAGCCCTAATTCTCGTAGCTTCATAAAATTACGGTTGAACCCCTGATGTCACATGGATTATGTTACCGATCTCCTTGCTACATTTCTGGACTTGGGAGCATTTCAGTTGTATTGCTGTCTATGCAGGGTCGGCCAGCTCTCAGATTCCAACAAAAATATCTTACTTTGTGTTCCGAAGATGAACGAAGGTCTTACGGGTTTGAAACGACATGAGGGTGAGTAATTAATGACAGAATTTTCATTTTTGGGTGAACTAACCCTTTAAGGAAGGCAGGGCTCGACGCTTACTTTTCTTTTTAGGAGCACTTGTGCTCCTAACTTAAAAAATTTAGGAGCACGTTCAAAATTTTAGGAGCACCTTCTAATCAATAATCCAAAATGTTATCAAAAAGTAGCCTTCCCATTACGAGGTAATATTTGACTCCTCTAACTTTATTAAAATTGTCATCGTTTGTCAAATTCTTAAAAAAAGCTTTTTAAAAATTGTAATTAAAATGACAGAATAAGAGTAGAATAAGAAACAAGTTAAAAATCAAATGAAATCAGTATTAACAAAATGAATTTGTAGAGGTGGCACAGAAGAACACAAAAGTGGCTTGATGTACTTTCAGACATTTAATGAGGTTCAGAAGTGGAATGAGTGCAATTAAATCTATAAATCCATGATGACATTAATGTTTTAAATATAAAATTTTGAATATAGAAATATTAAATGACTTTAAATAACTGAAAAGATATTTAACGGTTATTCACTGTTCGCCAGCAGGTGGCGGCAAGTCACTGATTTTGATCACTGAATCATTCATTCAATTGATTCATTCAAACTGCTGATTCATTCAAGAATGAATCAAATGACTGTCTTTATGAATGGTTAATCATGAATCACTGACTCTGACTTTAAAAAAACCCATTCATTCATAAACGAAACACCGCTGTGTTTGAATGGAGATGCACAGCGGCTCCGCTGTGTCTGTTTTAAACTATTTTCGACGACGAAATAGAGCAAAATCAGACAATAGTGTTATAGTCAGACAATGTAAGTCACTTAATATTAACTTCTTGTTTATTGAATTGTATTGTATTAAATCAGTTATCACATTTACAAACGCCCTTAAAAATCATTAAAAGCTGTCACTCATCTTAGTTCATTGCGAGCTCACATTTATAATCAACGAAGCTCTCTACACTGCACAATGAATCTCTTATTTACACCCTGTCTACACTTTGCTTATGAAAGGATTCGTGAGATATGTCTGTGATACATTACTCGACGCTGCAAAAACACGTAGAAAGCTTTGAAGCTCCCCTGAGCGCAATCAGAAGAATGATGATGATCAGGTCAGTCGCACTAGTGCTCCTAAAAAAAATTCATAGTCACACACAGTAGTTTTCGAGCCCTGGAAGGTCACAAATATGATCCCGCCACCCCTTGTTTGCGAGCTCTTCACTGGCTCCCAGTTCACTTTAGGATAAATTTTAAATTTCTCCTATTTGTATTTAAATGTTTACACAACCTTGCCCCACATTACTTTTCGGAATTACTGCATACTTATCGCCCTACCAGAGATTTAAGATCTGGTAATCAAAACCTACTTATGGTTCCTTGCACAAGGTTGAAACGCAGAGGAGATAGAGCTTTTTTTGGTGGTGGGCCCTAGATTGTGCAACAGCCTGCCAGCCCACCTCAGAGCTGCTCCATCTTTCTCAGTTTTTAAATCTCTTCTGAAAACCCACTTGTTTTCTTTAGCTTTTAAAAGTTGAGGATGTATTTGTATGTTTTAATTTTTTTGACCATGAGATTTTGTACAGCACTCTGGTCAGTCTTGCGACTGTTTATAAATGTGCTTTATAAATAAAAGAACTAGGATTAGAAAATAACTTTAGGTGCTTCACAAGATTGAGAGACTGGCAAAGAGAAATTCACTATTGGCAAATAAATAAATAAAATGTCAAGCTGTTTTGCAAAGGCTCATCTACCAAGTTTATGGGCATAAGCAAAAAAACATTTTAATAAATGTAATACATGATGATCATTTATTGACAAATTTATAGAAAATAATATTTCTGTGCTGATAAGAGCCAAAAATTATAAAATCAGTACAACATATATGCAAAATCTATAGAGGACAGAAAACAACAATTGCAATCATTCAAATATTTTCCTTATAACAATTGACATTTTAAGCCAAAAAACACAGCAAAGTTCAGGCAAAAGATTATAGACAAGTTTACATTTTTCTTTACCTATCTGCAGTGATTTTGAAAACTCTGAGGATGGGAAGAAGGGTGGCAGTAAGAGGAAGAGAACATACATGTGATCTGAGAGCAGTAGGACTTATGGGACTACACAAAAACAGCATCATTTATCACAAGTCCACTGCAGCCTAGTCATGATGTACCATCTTATGGTCGGGAGTGAAGCTTAAGCGATTAAAAGAAACACTGAAGTTCTTTTTAATTTACAAACAAAAGTAGCACCGATGTCAAAAGCTGAAACCGTTTTCAAATTACTGCCACCAGTGTACATACGTGTTTGTAGCGCAACTCCATTTCAGTTTTACAGTTGTAAATAATTCAATTATGATATATGATTATATTTTTTATTATGATATATGATAAATGTTTTTGAATGAGATTAGTTAACAACCAGTTGAAAAACCATGGTACCTAATATTCAGAGACCACATAATTACACATTAAATGCACTTACACATGTATGGGGACCAGGTCTATGTGTCATGCCTTTTATCTTTGACAGTTATTAGGCAACTATATATTCTGTATATTATACTTGTACAGAAAAAAAAATCGATTGCACATTTCTGTTAATCAACAGAAACTACAGTTTAAATAATGAATTGTTTGAGGTGTATGAAACCAAAATACAAAACTACTGCCAAATAAACACGTTTCACTTTTTTAGCAACTTATAGTCACAGCTAACCTTGGTCACAACGTCGCTGTGACAACTAGCCCCGGTGTTAATATGTGACTGCAGTAACACATATAGTTTAGATCACGTAAGAACATGTCTAATAAAGTACTAACATAGAGTGACAACAATATATCTTATAAGTCACCATATATATTTCACACAGCATCAGACAGAATTGCGCCTGCAGATTTTTTGCGATGTTACTTTAAAAGACCGATCTGGATTTTATAGCTGGCAGACATCGCAAACACGATGAAGTATTAAGAAATCAAACTAATAATACTCACCTTTAGGTTTTTTCGCTGTGACCACTTCCATCTCGCTAGTGGGAGCCGCCATCTTTCTCCAAACAAGTGCACGTGGAGTGAAACAGGCATTACTCATCGAACACCGAGCTGATGTGTGCAAATCAAGTGTCGATGCGATCGATATGAGCGCCGTACTGAGACCATAGACTGTATGAAGAGACCGATTGAGACGCAAGGAAAAAAGTTCAAATATTTTATGCCAGTGACCCAAGAAGCAAATTTCTTCTTAAAATAAAAAATTAGATGTATATTTACATGTATCAAACACCATTTATGCTGAAAGTTTAAATCTTGTTTCCCAAATTAAGTAAATGGCTTAAATAATTTAAGTATTATCCGGAAAATAGGCTACTTATCTTGAAAAGCTGACATTGTATCCTCCTTTCCATAATTTAGAGTCATGGTTCAGTTTTTAAACTAGAAATGTCTCTCTACAGGTTTGTATACCTACACTCTCAGAAAAAAAGGTACAAAACTGTCACTGGGGCTTTACACCATATGTACAGTTTAGTTAGTAATATGTACTTTTAAAGTACTAATACAGTATGAAAGTTTAAGGCAGTAATATGTACCATTTAGGGGTAAATAAGATGCAAAGATGTAACATTTAGCCTTTGTACCTTTGGGTACCAGCCTAGTGACCGTTTTGTACTTTTTTCTGAGAGTGTAGCATAAACCTGAAGAGAAACATTTTCAGTTCAATTACTTTTTAAAACTGAAAGCAAAAAAAAAAAGTTTTATCTTAAATTTATAAATACAGTAATCTTATAAGATTAACAAAGCAAAATCAAAATCTTTTTGTCATTTTTAAAATACTGATCTGTACTCATGATTATGTTGCTGTGTTTAGTTATACTGAATGGACCAGTGTACTGTAGTAGATTTATGCAGTCAGCAGGCGACTGGTTTTTTTTTTCTTTCGCATTTCCATGTGGTCCTTCCTGTTCGTTATCGCAACTTGGCTTCTCTAAAATGTAAAAAAGCTCTTTGCTGTTGCACTGCACACATCATATACAATTCAGATTTTTTTCTTTCATATGTTGTTATAGGGGCTCCTTATCATTTGGTTCTTTGGTGTCCTTTTGGAGTTTCTACGTGTCCTTTTTTGGAAAGACATCTAAATTTATCTTGAAAAAAGCTTGCAGAAAATACCGATTTTTGACAATCACCCATCAATCTTTTGGTTTACTTTGCTGGATATAGCAAATGATGACAAAATAAACATTTGAAACAAGATAAATGGTCTATGCTTAATTTCATGAAGTGTGCGATTAATCGCGATTAACCACAGAAAAGGGTGTGATTAATTAGATAATTTTTTTTTATATATAAATAAA